GAAGACCCAATGTCAGCCTACCTTGACACCTTCTTTCATGCAGTAGATCTGCAGAGCACTCACACCATCAGAGAAGGGGTGAATTTGTAGGTTAAATGGAGGTGATCTCCTCTCTCTCTCCTCGAAGAATGTAAGAAGAGAAAAGAAGTGGCAACTGATCAAACACTAAGCTAGCTGTCTCCTTACACTGTAACAGCAGTTTGTCAATATGTCATTTGGCAAAAAAAAAAACAAAAACAAACCTAGACTCAGTATGTACATGCCTAAATTGAATGAAAGAGAATTAATCAGTCAACTAAAAATATGGGAGAAAATTTATAGATGGTACCATCCATCCTTGAGGATTCCTGCTCAGGGAAATGTGGCAAGTGGAGAAACAATTTAAACAGTATGAATATTTATTCCCTTCAGATATCAGAGGGTGGATTTGCTCTGAAGGTTTATGATGGCAAAGAACCTCTGCACATTTAGTCATCTCATTCTTTAAGGGTTAGATAGAAAGGCTGCAGGGATGCCTCACTCTCTTCCCCTGGAGCACAGTGATTGCTAACTTCACCCCCAGACCTAATCTGAAATAACCTCAAGACAAACATCACTAGCCAAATAACAGAAAACCCAAACAGGAATTTGCCATCACCCAGAACCTCATTCAGATTTTGTAGAATACAATGAAGGTGTATTCACGTGTTTTATTTCAATAAATCCTCCAAAGCAAGCGCCTCAAGTTTGGCCTGATTAATCTAGGTGTTTCCTAAAACCAGTTGCCCAGATGTTGAAAAAGCACAGTCCCTGTGAGGACAGTTTCAAGCTTCCTCAAGACTCACCATTTCCAGTCATATAGCATGGGCAACATTTAGTCTCAATTGTCACAGCTATAGAATTCTGAGCTCACTCTGAGGTCCAAATGAGAATATGATTCTGAAATGCCTACTTCAGGCCCCCAGCCCTAACACACTCTGCATATATCATAATCATGGCATCATGAGCATTATCATTTCCTTACTTCTAGTTCTAGGTTGCGAAACTCCAGCAGCTCATTCTGGTCTCTGGCATCCTGAAGTTCCTGCTGTAGCCGGTGATTCTCTGCTTCCTGTTTCTCTATCTAATAAAGTAAACCCCGGAGTTAGGTAAGCACAGTAAGGAGCACCTTGGCAAAGCAAGCATGGACAGCCCTCATCCACTCATGGAAAGAATTTGCTCTGGACCATGACAACCATCCCTAAGATGTGGTTGGGGGTAGGTCTGGCTTTCCTTGTAGCCATCTTCCAGCCATTTTTGGAAGACACAGAGACAAATGTCAAGAAGAGCCTTTAAGGATAGAGGTTCTGTAGACAGTGAATTTGAAATACTCACATTTCCGGTACAGGTCAGACACAGTGTGCTGGGAATAGATTTATAGGTGTTTATGAGGGCAATTGACATGTTTATCTCTGAAACTACCAGTTGTCACAGGAATAATTTGACCGTTAATATACAGCTCACAACTATGGAAGTTTGTGGCTACAATCTAATCAAGTTATGCCCATCATCTCAAACAACCTTTTGTATTGTGATAAAATTTGACATATACTCTTGCAGGAATTATGAAACACACAGTAATTGTTGAATAGAAGGACATGAGATTCCATAATATGGAATTCTAAAACTTAGAAAATTGCTCAACTCTTGATCACTCAGTCTTCAATGTTATCAGTGTGTCATCGCTGTACAGGCATATGCACCCCCCACCACACCCACACACACACACACACACACACACACACACACACACACACACACACACCCCTAGCAGTCCCGATCTATTCCATGATTCCAGGAGCTTTCTCTGTCCTCATCTACCTGGCAAACACTCTGGCAGACTTTTCTATGGAGCAGGAGTTTGTTTTTCTTCTTCTTCTTCTTCTTCTTCTTCTTCTTCTTCTTCTTCTTCTTCTTCTTCTTCTTCTTCTTCTTCTTTAAAGATTTTATTATTTATTTATTATGTATACACCAGAAGAGGGCACCAGATCTCATTATAGATAGTGTGAGCCACCATGTGGTTGTTGGGAATTGAACTCAGGACCTCTGGAAGAGCAGTCAGTGCTCTTAACCTCTGAGCCATCTCTCCAGCCCTCCTCTATCTTCTATACTACAAAAAAAAAAATCATTCACTTCCCCAAATGCCAAGCCGTGTGTACCTCCGCTCACCCAAACACTCACAAATGGCACCTCTTTCTCTATAGTCCTATAAGGCTGTTTGTTGTTTATTTGCTACCAATTGCTTGGTTTTCTAAGACAGAGTCTCTCTATGTGGATCAGGATGACTTCCAACTCCTGCCCCTCATTGATTGTCCTACTTTACTGTTTGTATAGGGACAAAAAGAACACAACATCACACCATTGTCCTAGACAACTTTATCAAGGGCATCTTGTACAACCTGATTTAGCATGAGACAAGGGGTTAACTCAGATGTGCACCAAAGTGTCTTCCCCTCAGATCAAGTCTGAGACCCCTGTGGATTTTAAGGAATCTCATAGTTTCTATGTACTATTTTTCTTGTTGTTGACTATGAAGCAATCATTATGTACAGTGGCAGTTTAAAAGCTTAAATGTAGAAATACAGACACAGAGGCTTTAATTATAGAGATCTTATTTTCCAAATCATATAACTGAAAATAAAGTATTCTCTCTCTCTCTCTCTCTCTCTCTCTCTCTCTGTGTGTGTGTGTGTGTGTGTGTGTGTGTGTTTCTGTTAATGAATTAAAAAATGTAGCCCTAAAATTTCTCTTTGGCAAAAAAAAAAAAAAAAACAGACTAAAGAAATTAAGAAAGAATCAACTGCATGATAAAGGATTGTAAAAACACATCATGGGACATCTCTGAGATTAATGATTAATAAGACAACAGCAACAGAGCAAAGATGAGAAGTTATGTGACATGTGACATTTACTAATATGATC